CAACTGAAATCAGACTTAGTTAAAAATAGATCTTCTCCCTAATAAATATTTTACCTTCTGTCTTAAGGCTGCAAAGCTTCCCCGACTGAAGTGTTAAAACAAATCTCCTTGTTGGCCCCTAAATGCCTGAAACATCCYCTGAAACACCCAGGGGATGCTGCGGGGAGGGACACAAACCCTAAAACCTCAGCAAAGGTGGCCCGGTGGCCTTTAGGCTCCAGGAAGAGAACTTTGCACCCGACTGACTCATTTGGGGACCTGTGAGCTTGACTAATGAAATTGAAAGATAAGATCTCTCACGGTATTTATGAGTAACGCTCTYCTTTCCATATCTTTATTTCTTCCTGCCCAAAAGTGGAATTAGAATTAGGTGGCTGAATGAGGCAAAACAAAGGACGCTGACAGAGCCTGAGATAGGAGGGTTTTTCATTAAAGAAGAGTGACAGGTTGGAGAATGTGCCCGAGTGTGTTTGTGGGAGATAATCCTGCAGTTTGGGTTCAGGGCATCACTCACCGTGGTGTTTCCTCTCCCCAGATTCCCTGGGAATGAGGGGGCAGTTTAACCTGGCATTCTGCCCACAATCTGCATCTGTGGGGTTGGTTTTGTGTGGGAAGGGGGATCCTGAAKGCCCCACATCTCCGTGGGGTGGCACGGAGCCACAGCAGCAGGGAATCCAGGCCAGAGGGGCCAGGAAAGGGCACAATTCCCGGGAGAGGGTGGGTGCCACAGGGGCAGTGGGGCGGAGAGGGCACACCAGGGTGTGGTGGGCAGTGATGTGGGCAGTGGGCAGTGCAGTCTGCCCGTCCCCCTGTCCCCCTGTCTGTCCCCTTGCCCATTCCCTGCCCATTCCCTGCCTGTCCCCCTGTCCCCCTGTCCCCTTGCCCATCCCCTGCCCATTCTCTGCCCATTCCCTGCCCATCCCCTGCCCTGTGCCCGCTCAGTCAAGCCCAGCCCAGTGTGCCCAGTGCCCCCAGCCCAGAGAGTCAGGGAGGGTTTCAGAGCACCCTAAAGGATGGCAGAAGGGATGGGCAGGGCTGTCCCGAGCTCCTGCTGTGCCCTGCCCTTCACGGGAGGGAGGGAGAGAAGGGCAGATGTGCCGTGCCCCTGCCAGCTGTGCCCCTGCCAGCTGTGCCCCTGCCAGCTGTGCCCTTCACGGGGATTTCTGGCTCAGCTCCGCACGTTCAGGCAGGGCTGGCACCGGGGCTGGCACACTCTGCTACCCAGAGCTGTCACAGCGGGATCAGGGTCCATCTGTGCAGCCCCAGGAGCGGGATTTGCCACCCTGGGATTTGGGATTTTTTCAGGTGGAGTGTTGGGATTGTTACTTCTGTCCCATACCGTGGCATGGGGTTGGAATCCTTATGGTCCCTTCCGACCCAAGGCATCCCAGAATTGTGTAATTCTCGGATTTTGTGCGGCTGCTGTTGAGGAATTSGTTGAAGGTCAGCACAAACACAGCCATGAGCATTTTGCTCACCGTGGCAGCTGATTCTGCTAACAATCATGCAGTTATGATCAGCCATCAGCACCGTGAGGCCACAAATCAGCTCCTCGGCAGAGGGAAGGAGCAAAAGCCACCCMAAGAAACATTATTTGCCAATCTTTTGTCAAGAAAGGTCTTTGCATTTAAAATATTCCTTGAGTGTCAACACATGGAGGGTATTAATGAAAATTAATGGTTCTGCAGATCAAATTACACATGTGTTCTTTTATTTCTACTTATTTCTACATTTTTGCACGTTCAAGTATTACAAATGTGAGCGTGGCTGGGCTTGATTTCTGCCAGCAGCAAACACTGAGGAACTTCATTAGCAGCAATATTTGATATTCATTAACCTGCAGTTGAACAGCAAGGAGGATCTGTGCCTGAAATACTTCACCTGCCTTTCCTCCTGCGTGGAGTAAACACGAATTAGACAAAACATGAATCAGACAACACAGCTGCTGGGGGCTGTGCCMAATTTCACCACTCTCCTGCTTTTTTGCCCCAGAATAAATGACCACACAATATTGAGCAAAGTGAGGCCCAAGAACGGGCACAGCTGGACTGGTACCTGTGCCTGGGTGTGTTTGGAACACCAGGACAGCCAGCAGCTCAGCAYCAGGGATTGGTTTTCAGCTTGATTTAAGGTGAATCTCATCAGAGCTGGTCTGGGCAATGTGTAAGGCTGCTCCCAGGGAACCCCACGATGAGGGAAACRGCCTCGAGCTGTGCCAGGGAGGGTCAGGGTGGACRTCAGSAGGAATTTCYYCATGGAAWGGGYGRTCAGACCTTGRCAGGGGCTGCCCAGGGAGGTTTGGGGTGCCCAGGGAGGTTTGGGGTGCCCATCCCGGAGGTGCCCCGGGAAGGACTGGCGGTGGCACTCAGAGCTCCGGGCTGGGGACGAGGTCGGGATCGGGCCCAGCTCGGACTCGATGGTCTGGGAGGGCTTTTCCAACCTCAGGGATTTGGGATGCTGGGATTCCCGCGCCGTCCCCATGGCAACGCGCCATCACCATGGCAACGCGCGGTCACCACAGCAACGCGGCGGAGCGCGCGGCGCGGCGTGTCCCGCACGGCGGCCCGTACCGCGGGGCATTGTGGGCCGGGTAAGATGGCCGCCCCCGTGCCGCGGTGCTGAGCCCCGCCGCGCTCGCCGGCGCCCCGGGACGCGCGTCCCGTCTGCCGCTGCCCGCCCCCGGAGCGCAGCCCGCCGAGCAGCCCTCGGCCCGCCCGTGTGCCAGGGAGCCGCGATGGGCCGGCCGCGGTGCCCGCCGCAGGGAGCGCGGGGCCCGCGGGGGTAAAGGCGTGAGGGAGGCCCCGGGCCCGCTCCCCGCCGGTCCCTCGGTCCTCCCCGGGCCGCGCCACCGAGCCCGCCCGGGGCCGCTGTCCGCGCCGGGCCAAGGCGCTGCGTGCCCCGGCTCCGTCCTTACCCGCCCGCCGGGGAGCGCCGTCCCCCGCTGCCCGCGGCCTGTGGTCACCCCTCCGGCCGGAGGGACCCCCGGCCCCGCTGGGTGCCGGGCTGGACATCGCTGCGCCCGCGCTGCCCGCCGCTCCCCCGCCCATGGAGTCTGAGATGCTGCAGTCGCCTCTCCTGGGGCTCGGCGAGGAGGATGAGTCCGACCTGACSGACTGGAACTTGCCCCTGGCCTTTATGAAGAAAAGGCACTGCGAGAAGATCGAGGGCTCCAARTCTTTGGCTCAGAGCTGGAGGATGAAGGACCGGGTAATGCTCCAGGGCAGGATGGGGTTTGGACAGGAGCAGTCGGGGGACAGGTACAGAAGGAGTCAGAGCTCTGAGGGATGGTGAGATATTGTCAGATGAAGCATTGGGTGTTGATCCACAGTTTGTATCCCAGTGGAGTGCAATCAGGGATACAAACCTGCAGCTGTGTCGGGAGTACCGGTTTGATGCTCGCGGTGCTGGGCTTTTTGTGCAGCTCCATCATTTAAGGTCTTTAAACAGAATTTTGGTACTTGGTGTGTTTTAAACGAGACGATGAACAAGGTTGGAAGGTGCTCAGGGCCCGGCAGGTGAATGGGGCAGGTGAATGGGGCAGGTGAATGGGGCCGGTGAATGGGGCCGGTGAATGGGGCAGGTGAATGGGGCAGTGAATGGGGCAGGTGCATGGGACCGGTGAATGGGACCGGTGAATGGGGCAGGTGAATGGGGCCGGTGAATGGGGCAGGCCCCGGTCTATGGGGACAGGAATTGTGGCTGTCTGGAGGTGAAGGTGCAAAGGAGCTGTGTGGTTTCGAGCGTGTTATTTGGAATGTGAAATGAAGGTGTCTTTCTTTGGAGAAACTGAGATCGTGGGATTTTGGAGGCAGGAAGTTTTTCTCAGCTGAAACACTTGTTGTGTTACAGCCGCAGCTTCTCCTGCATTTGGGGCCGTGTTGGGTGTGAAGCTGGCAGTGCTGGAAGTGACACAGACACTCCCTGCTGGGGGTGTGAATCCTCTGTTACATTTATGTGCCCACTGAAATGTTTCAGTAAAGAGCAAACAAAGCACCTCAGAAGCGTCACGGACAATCATCTCCACTCCTTCTGTTCTTGGAATCTGCTTTGGGTTCCCTGGCTCTCAAAGTTCTTGTACCCAWAACTTTGTGTTTATAGATATTCATGAATTTGCCTGGTGCCCAGATTTCCATTATGTTTATGATCTTCCTGGAATAACTTTTTGAAACTCCAGGCTGTAATTTCTTTGCAGAGGCAATGTGACCAGGCTGTCCCCAAGTCTCAGTGTTCTCATGTGATTCTATTTCTCTGAAATTCTGAACCATGAGGAGAATTGTGTTCTGAAAATGAGACTTGGCAGATCCTTGTTGGGTTGAACTGAACATTTTGAGTGTGTTTTAAAGGTGGCACAGACACCACATTGGGTGCTCTGCTCTTGCTCTGCAAGAGGAGATTTCTCCAGTGGACTGTGGAGGTGTGATGAGCTTGCTTGGCTATTTTAGTGATCCCTCTGCCTTCCTGGGACACTTCTGTTCCCTTGTTTCCTGATCTGCAAAGTTGCCTGTTTCTAATTTGGGAATGACTTTGCCTGGGTCGGGCTGATCAATAGTTTGTGCAGGAGCAGCACAATTTCAGGGGAGGTGATCAGGGGTTTCTCTGGCTGGTGTTAAATGTTTCACGTGTTTGTTACCTTCCTGAACATCAGCCCAGCAGGAGGTGGAGGGCAGCTCATTCCTGCTGCTGTTTTCCCATGGCTGTTGGAGTGTGCCAGGTTTGTCCAGTGAATTGAACACCTGGGTGAAAAYCCAGGAACCTGAGCTTTGTGGGGTTTTCCTGTGAAGCACTTTGGAGTGGTGGTGAGGGTGTGCTGTCAGGGTGGCAGCTGATGGGCTGTTGGTTTTTCCCTTTGTTTTGTTTTGCTCTCTGGCATCATGAATGAATTATTTCTTGGTTTAGCTGTGTTCAGGAGTTTCCTGTCTCCTGTTTCTTTGCCTTGCAGTGCTGCTGATGTCCATCCCAGAGCTCAGCACAGCCCCTTCCTGCACTGCAGTCCCAGATTGGGAGGGTCTGTCCATCCCCCAGCTCCCTTTGGCTCTTCCCTCCCTTTTCCACAATCCAGGGCTGGTGGCCTTTGCTCTGATCTTTGGGATGCTGCAGCAGGAGCTTTCCCTAGAGCTGCAGGGGATGTACCTCTGGCTGTGAGCTGAGTGTTTTCTCACTTTCCTTTACTTTGAATTTGATGAATGAACGTGTCACAGCACAGGTTGGGGACCATTACCTGTCATTAGACCCCCCAGCCTGTCTCTAAATGAAGAAGTTCTCAAAGGTCAGTCCAAACAAGGCTCTGTCAGTCCCAGCTCAGGTAAATCTGTGCCATTTTCTCCTGTGAATCATGAAAGCCACAAGCAGTGGCAGATTTTGCCTTATTCATGGAGAAGTCATGGGGAGTGATCCGAGCTCTACTACAGTTAGAGGAAGTGATTCACAGATTTGGGAGTGGAATGACTCTTCTTTTCATCTTGCTTTGTTGATGTAAAAACCCCAGAGTTTATATGAAGTTGAAGGTTCTTTAGAAGGCAGAGCTCTGATAAGGGGGGAATCGAATCAGCAGAGTAATGAGAGGTAAATCTGGAGAAAATAAGTGAGAATTCACTGGTGTCCCCCGCCCCTTCCTCCATGAGAGCTGCTCTGAAAGCATTTAATCCTTCTTCTCCCCCTTCCATGGACTGCATATGCCATCAAAGTGACACTGCTTTGATCTATTATTTATTTAAAGAATATTTTTAACACAGGAGGGTTGGAATTATGCTTTGTGTATTGAATTAAATCTCCCTGCCTTGGTAGCAACYAAAGCATATAACTTGATTTAAAGGAAAAGACTCAAAGTACACCAGGTTTTACTGACAAGTTGCTATTAAATTCAGAATATTTAAATTAAGATTTGCTGTATTTTTATTGATTTCTAAGATAAGCAGAGAGCAGCAAAGCTGATTGTAATAGTTTTACCTCAACTTTTTTTTTTTTTCTAGCTGCCTCATAACTTGCTGAGTGAGAATTAAATCCTGTTTTTATGAGAAGAGGAATCCACAATTAGGTTTCTCTGGAAATGCAGATTAAAGCAGGACTGCATACAAATGTGCTTAATTYAGACAAGCAGAGTTTACTTGCCTGCACAAGAACCCCATGGAAGTGTCCAAGGCCCATGGGCTGATGGTTTTCTGGGATGTTTGGGGGTTTGGCTGTGGGTTTTTTGTTTAATTGGCTTGGTGCTGTGTTGATTTTCTCCCCCTTGGCCTGTCCAGAGGTGACTGTTGGTKTAGAGTGACCTTGGGTGATGAGGGGTTATTGATCCTTCTGGGACTCGGGGCTTTGACTGGAATTGCCAAATTTGATAAACCAGTACATTTGAAGTTTATCAATGACAAACTTGTGTTAATGACATCCTTYAGTGCCAGGCCATGGTGTGACAGGGGACAGGCTGTGGGAACAGCCAGGGTGGCTCAGGCCACCCCTCTCCAGGTCTGGACAGAGCCCTGTGTTGGTGGCTGTCCCTGGGGCAGAGCCT